AATAACGAACAAAATAAGAGGCAAAAACTAATTAAGAGGAAAAATCTAGCTTCATATAAATACATAATAAAAAAACAAAATAAGAGGCAGATACATAATAAACACACAATAAATAAAAAGATTGTCATGGGTTTCAGATTCATCGATATCTCTTAGAATTTATTCCACGCGGTGGTGGTCGTCTACTTCTATAAGGGTTTCTTATTATATGTTGCTCCTCATCGTCGTCGTCCTCATTTAGGCCTGTAAACGAACCGAACGAACATGAACGGGGGTATGTTCATGTTTGTTCGTTTAACTTTAACCGAACAAATGAACGAACACAAACATAAACGAACGAAGAATTTCTTGTTTGTGTTCGTTCATTAAGGAATATAGTTTGTTCGTGTTCGTTCATGTTCATTCATTTAAATGATAAATGAACATAAACGAACGAATATAAATGAACACAAAAAACTAATGTAAACAAACACAAATAAAAAAATGTAAACGAACACAAAAAATGAACATAAATGAACATAAATGAAAATAGGTTTTTTTCTTTCCTAACAATTTTAGGATTATATTTTATTTAAGTGTTTTGAGCTTTTATTATTTGTATTTAAAATTAATTGAATTTTAAAATTTTTATGGGTATCATATGGGCTTCAATATTTTAAATAGGTCTAGAAATATTAGGCTAAACATAAATGAACGCACATAAACGATCATAAATGAAAAAACATATTACCGAACGTTCACGAACATAAATGAACGAATGAGCCCTCTATTAATGTTCGTTCATTTAATTAAATGAACAAAAAATATTATTCATGTTCGTTCGTTTAATAAATAAATGAACATAAACGAACTTCTCGCTGAACGGTTCACAAACGGTTCGTTGAACGTTCGTTTCGTTTATAGGCATATCCTCATCATTTTCCTCGTTGTCCTCATCGTCCTCCTCATCCTCATCTTTATCATCACTCTCAATAACATTGTCTCGATAAGGGTTGAATGTCGATATATGACCTTTGTAGAATAAGGACCCTGGAGGTGTATGACTGAGAATCCCACCACTCACTAAGAACTGAGAAAATTGTGAAAAATCAGGCATCGATGTCTGTGATGTATACTGCAATTAAGGTGTTTGTGGTGGAGGACCACCCGCTACATAATTAGTGTAGGAACTAAATGTTGGATCCGTAAGTATAATCGGAAAATATCTGCCAGTGGGTGTCATAAAACCCTACGGGTTATGTGCATAACCAAATGGTGGTGCCATCATAACCAACGAATATGGTATCTAGACTTACGGATGTGGCATCTAAACCGGCTACGGTGGCATCTGAAAGTTAATAGGTGTCCCCATGTGATTTGGAGGGCTAGTGTCGCTGGTTGCTAGTGTGATAGTTCTTATGGCATAGCTAAGGATGACCCGAAAGCACTTACTCTTCGTTCAGTAGTGAGGGGAGGATGATGTTCTAACGTCGAACGTTTATGTCGGCGATAATGAATTGTCACCCCTCGTGCTTTCGCTGAAAGTAAGAATGGTTTCCCTTTATGTTGAACCATTCAATATAGCCCTCTAAAACCATCGAACCAGTTTCTGTTATATCTTATCGATGGTGCAAGCGTTGATGTCGGTTCTCCCACATTGCCAACCATTTTCTATGCTTCACCAACCAATTCACCTCTTTCTTGCCCCGTCTATCAATGTTATGCATATTGTCGAGGTTTCTTGGCACTTCTAGAATAAATTGTGTAAACCCAAACTGACGAAGCACACTATCAATCGGATGCCACTCAATAATAGCATAACAAATAAGGGCACAACCACCACACATACATCCAATATCCCACTCAAGTTTGGTGGGATGCAAACCCTCAATTCTTCCTCCAAAAATGGCAACCATTTGAACTAAAACAAAAATATAGATTTCTTATCAAAATTAAAATGAAATTCAAATTGTATAAATATAATTAAATAAAAAATTAAAATTAAAAAACATACATCTACACCAGTTTTTTGGTCAATGAATAATTGGATATCTTGTAATTCTTGTGGGACATCACGATGATTTTTCCTATTACTTGACCACCTATTTAAAATATATATATATATATATATATATATATATATATATATATATATATATATATATAAAAATAATATTATTTAAAAATAAATTTATTGTTGATACCTTGAAAGTAACGGAAATGCGTATGGCCCATTCATGATTAGGCACAAAAAAGTCATGTGGTACCATACCCCCGATTGGAGAAGAATGAGACAATCGTCAATAGCAGTCTTCTTATAATTCGTAGCCCGACACATTTCTCTAAACAAAAATACCAACACTACAATCACCCAACTCAATGTGTTGGCTACTTCAAAATCGATCAGGTGCCTCAACCATATATAGACATGCACAAAGTCGGATTTAAATCTGATCCGGTTTTTTCACCTAGCAAAAAAACCGGATTTAAAAAAAACCAGTTTGGATCCTAACTGATTTGGAGGGCCGGATGGTGTAACTGGTTTCGATTTGAAAAAAAAACTGGTTTTTAATCCGGTAAAAAAATCGGTCGTCCAATTTTTCCCAAACCGGTTATATTAACGGCTAGTTTTTTAAACCCCTGACCGGATTTTTTTTCGAATAAAAAATTGGTTTTTTATTCGGTTTTTAATCTGGTAAAAAAATCGGTCGTCTATTTTTTCCCAAACCGGTTATACTATTTGTTTTAAAATATCCGATCCGGTTTTTCCCAAATCCAATTTCGGATATTCGGATTTTTTGTGCACCTCTAACCACATACAATGGACCTAATTCCGAGATTTTTCAGGCATCAATATACCTCTAATGAGCTGTGGTACATATGCCCGGGCAAATGCTTTTACCTCAACCTCCGAACAATTTTCGTACAACTCTTTAAATTCACTTTTCAGCCACTCTAATATTATTCGACCACTGTTAAAATTGGGTGGGCAACTTCCAAGATACTCACTACAAAAACCCCTCCAATCATCATCTACCACACCACAATTGGCAATTCCATCGACTGGGAGCCTTAGTGGCATTGAAACATCCTCTAACGTATTGGCACACTCCTCACATGATAGATGGAACGTGTGTGTCTTTGGTCTTCATCTCTCAATTAGTGCAAAAATCAGGGTGGGTTCAAGTTTTCAAGCTCCTTCAATTTTCGCTAAGAAACCAAATCCAACCATGGACAAATATGGTCATATACACCTCAGTGTGTTCCATTTTCTTATTGTGAATAAAAACTTCTAATATACGATTATTTTCCTAACAAATAAATTCTAACCATTAAAATTTGAACTACTATTTCAAAATTATTTAAATAAATTCAAATAAATAAATTCTAATAATTTAAATATCGAATTCATAATATTCATAAATTTAAAAAGAATATAATTTCATATTCTTACCATATCGACAAAATGACTAGAAATATGATCAACATCTAATCGCAACAACGAGCCTTTCATTTTTTAACTGTAATTAATAAATATTAACTAAATAAGTTTATAATTAAATACTCAAATAATAACTACTAAAATAAAATAATAATAAAATAATTAATTCCTTCAATAATAAAAATTTAAATGAATAAAAAATAAAAATAATTATATCGTATTAGATTGAAAATATATAGGAAGGAGAGATATTTGGGTGTGATTTATGTGAGTTGGGGAAGGGTGTTTATATAGTCAGCCGATTAGAGAAATAGGTAGGAGAATTTGGCGGGAAATCGGGGAGGGAGGGGGAAGGTGCGCCCCTAGGGATGCGTCTTCCAGGGGTATCGACAGTTTTATCGAGTATCAGCGGTTTTCGGCTAAGACGCTTCCTACCAACCGCACCTTCTTCCTAAAGCGCGTTTCACCGAATACTCCTTCCCTCAGGTGTTAGATCGAGCAATATTTGAAAAACGGTAACTGACATATAATATTTTATTTATACGGTGATTTTTTGATCAAAAATCCATTTTCTCTAGTTTAAGGATCCACGATTAAAGTTACACCACTCTATGAAGTCGACTAACCTTTTATTTTCTAATTTTTAGTGGAATATAATATTTAAGCACCATAATCCATCGTATATTAGTTAGATGATAGAGTCGATAAATGATATTTAAATAATTTTTATAGATGTAACTGCTCAAATTTAAGATCTTTATGAGGAATAATATTTTCTTTATCTATTAAGATCGTTTAATGAGCTCATTTATTTATATCATTAAAAATGTTTAATGTTTAAGACACATTTAAATAAATCATAACCATTATTTTCTTAAATAAAATATTAGAATAGATAAAAGAGTTGATTATGTATATCAATCAAGCGATTTCAGTGATTAAAATGATGATTATATCTCTGAAAATCTCAAATATAAACACAGATGACTATAAAAGGTATTTCAGCTTAAATTTATTTAAATAATTTAACTTAATTAATAAAGCCATAATGGTATTACCAAACCAAAACCCTGTTAAATCCAGCTTGATGAATTATCTAAAAAGATTAAATTGTGAAAATGACTCGTAAACTATGGCACTGCCAACTCACTTAGGTTTGAAGTGGGGGCATATCAACTGCATTTTTGAATATATTAACTAGTACTAGTTGCAACTGTTCATTTGAATTGATATTAGTTAGAACTATTAAATGTATAAAAAGGGATTAAGGTCCATACTTTGATTTTAATTTGCTTTAGTTAATTATAGGCCTAATGGGAATAAAAGTAGTGATTAGGAAATACGAATTACAAGATGAAGAAATAACCCGTATACCTAAAATGATAAAGAATTAGAGAGGGGTTGCCAGCTGTGGCCAATACTAAATTCCAAATATACCATCGGAGTAGTTGGGAAAACGAAAGGAAATTTTTTTTTAGAAAATTTGTCGGTTCCGTTGATCCAAAATAATCTCCCCCATTTTCTCCACTATAAGGTAAAGTTTTCTTTTTATAAGATTTCTTTCCTCCTCATTCTCTCATTTGTCCCGATTCGCTGCTCTTTCTCGGCGCGATTCCGGGGTTTATTATGTTTTTGGATTGGATTCTATTGTTAAAATTTTAATTCTTTTATCAAGTCTGTAGAAATTATGAGTGATCACCTGGTGTTGTATGTGGATCGTCTGCTGATGCCGGTGCCATTACAGCCGGAGGAGTCGGAGGCTGCTCCCTCCACGGAGATTCCGGGGCCATCATGCTCCGTCAAGGAAAAGGAGATCGTCCCTGGGGGCGAGGAGGAGGAGCCGCTCATTCAGGCGGCGGAGTGCCGCATTTGCCAGGAGGAAGATTCCGTTGAGAATCTTGAGACTCCTTGTGCCTGCAGCGGCAGCCTTAAGGTACTTTCTTTTATTTATTATTATTATTTTGTTTTCTTGATAATAGTTTGATTAAGAATGTTTTTTTAATACTTTTTTTAGAATATAAAGTGCATTTTTTTAGCTTTCACGATTCCGCTTTCAGTTTGATGAACGTCATTGTATTAAGCTAAAATTTGCAATTAGCATTACTGCTTTGGTATCATTAACACAGTATTAAATCGCGACCCCAACGTAACGGCCACATCGCAGCCTTTTTCAAGGTCACCACACACTGGAACTGCATCCGCAATGTAAAATCACACCATAATGTCCATCCACGACCACAACCATAATTTAGTACTATGATCATTAATGCAATCTGATTTTAATTGCAGTATGCGCATATGAAATGCGTGGAGCATTGGTGCAACGAGAAAGGAGATACCATTTGCGAGATATGTCATCAGGTATCTACTTGCCTGAATTTTCTTATCGAAGTTGTTTGTTTAGAAACATGCTTTGCCTGCTGCAACTTGATTTCATCCTTTTAATTTGTCACAACATATTCAACTAGCATGTGTAGGCCTTTTGTCTCAGTAAGGGATGAAAGTTTGTGGATTTCGAAGTAATCAGTCGCAAATGAGTGTGGAATAGGGTGTATCGAGTATCAACTGCTTTCCGGAAGAATATTATTTAATCATTTGAATGATGGGAAGAGCCCTTCTTTTCTTAGCACCAACTTTTTACGTACACTGCATTTAATCCCTTACTGACACATACGGCTTGTTAAATTCCTTGTTCTTGTTTGTGCCTATTGATGGTTGTTATGGATCCTTGTTGATGCAGTCTGTTCTTTTAATTTTCTGTGCAGCCTTATCAACCTGGTTATACTGCTCTGCCTCGTGCCGAAACTGAAGAAGCTGCTATTGATATTGTGTAAGTTTGATGGTTTCGCATGTGAGATATTTCTATGCAATGGTTGGTGGTCGGTAGACTTATTGTAAGATAAACTTACTTATGCTATGATATTTATCAGGCATGCCATTCATCACAAAGTTTGATCTAAATTTGCTTTTTGCATCTTTCTAATTGCCTATTAGTGGAGGCTGGACAATCTCTGGCAACCCTCTGGATTTGCATGATCCTCGGGTCTTGGCCATTGTAGAGGCAGAAAGGCAACTTTTGGAAGCCGAGTATGATGAATATGCTGCCTCAAATGCCAGTGGAGCTGCCTTTTGCCGTTCAGCTGCTCTAATCGTAAGCTTTGAACTTTGAATCTGCTGGACATAATGAATTTCTTATCATGTCTGTTAGCAGACTGTCTTTCTTTTTGTTCCTTTATTTTTCCTTCTTTTCCCTTAAAATTTAAACGCTGTTCATTTCTTACATGACGATTTAATTAAGAGTTGGTTTCTAAAACGATTGATGTTTTCTTCAATCCTGTCAGTTAATGGCCCTTCTGCTGCTGCGGCATGCATTGACCGTTCCAGATGCAGATGCAGATGATGATGTGTCTACATTTTTCTCTGTAAGTTTTACCTCAAACTGCGTCTCATATTTCACATTAACAATTCTTAAGAATATGCGTACAGCCATCATACCATTCAGTCATTTTCTCTTAAAGTGTTTGGTTATTTGTGCAGCTTTTCTTGCTTCGTGCTGCTGGATTACTCTTGCCTTGCTACATAATGGCTTGGGCCATCAGCATATTACAGCGACAAAGGCAAAGACAGGTTACTATCACTTTACTTATATTTCAATTTGAAAACTCTTGTTTGTTTCCTTCCAAAGGAAACCATGAAAGGTGGTAAGTTAAACAAGTATCCGTTATTATCCACCCCGCTTGATGCTTTTCTTCAGACCTTGAAACCTTACATCACGGACATGGTTTTACATTTGAGTCGATATTGAAGGTTATACCGTTATTGTATCAGGAAGCAGCAGCATTGGCCGGAACACAGACTGCTTTCGTGCTACAATCCGGGCAACATAGGGGTATGCTTTTTACCATAGCATCAGGACCCACAGTGACCACCCACCAGGAAAGTGCTTGACTTAAAATTAAATCGGTAGTTGATGAACAAATGAGGATTGTTCGTTCCCCTTAATGATAGACTTGGAAAGCTTATTTTGCTTATTTTCTTTATCCCCAAATAGATAGTTTGAGGAAGACGAGAGCTGCTCTGATTTCTGTTTTAATGAATTGATGAAGATATGGGGTAGCTATAAGTCGTTTCCATAGTTTGTAACCATCATTGTGTATATGTATATACGAGTTTTGCACTGCTTAAGCTCGGATATCTGGTACATATGGATGCAAAATTCTCTCGGGACTGCACCGGAGAATTTTTCATTCAACTCCGGAAGCTTAAGCAGATTGCAGTATTCTTTTTTAAGGAGCTGTATCTGTGTATATATATATTATTATCAGATGACCTTTGTCAGACTCAGGCCTGAATTAGTAACATACTATTTGTCACAATCACTTTCACACCACACAGTGTTGGTAACAATGTTTGATATGTATGTATATTTACCTCAACTAATGTGCACTGCTGGACGCATTAAGGATCCAGCGTGGGTATTGTCCCATTCTAAATTTGAATTTTCTTCTGATAATTACATATTTTAATAGTCGTGCTCATCCTAAAATTCTAGTTGTGCTCACCTTGTATAAAATTTTTACGTGATTAATATATATAGTGGGCCCGTCTTGAAAAATAATAGATAGCTAAAGCACGCCCACACTCTTGACTCTTGAGCCATAGAGAGTTGGCAAATCCATAGTTGATCATCTGTAAAACACAAGTTTCGCTTCCTTCAATCGGAATATTCTCGTCTGGAAATAGCTTGTTAAGATTGTCGCCTTCTAATATCTGAAACTCAACATTGATAACTCTCAACAATTAGTTAACTGATAGTATAAGAAATTCAATTATATGTTAACAATTATACATGTATTCAAGAAGATATTCAATAAACATACAAATTTTGTGATAAAAACTTAATGTCCACACTAGCTTTAATTATAACAATGGTCAAATTTAAAATTACATGATGACATTAAAATAGTAAAAAATAATCGATTATCAACTTGCTATAAGAAGAAAATACAAATAATTAGTGGTAAATACATTTTAATTGCATGGAAAGCATCTAAACTAAAGCTCTTAACAATTTTTTATGCACTCACATCCTTTTTTCACACAAAAGAAGCTTATTATCATAAGATGCTAAGTATTATGCAGTCTGTTACAATTGAATAGATTTAATGATACATATATTACATTTTTACAACAATAAATAATTGTATAAAGAGGTACTTTAAAAGCCTACTAGACATTAAGTTTGTCTAAACAATATATTAATGTTGAATCTATCTTTTATATTTTTTTCTTTGTAGACAATGTTGCAGAAGCTTGAATATCCGAACTTTCTAACAAACATTAATGTTGGAAAGTATTGCATATACGGTCAGTATCCTTGTAGAAAAATATAGACGATGTATATTCAATTATTAGTCAAGATCCAAGGGATAGAGGATCCTGTTCACACTTTTAAATGAGCAGTAAAATTGCGTTCTAAGAATTATACGTAAACCGTCAACAAAAAAATGTCTTGAACAATTATGAATAAACTCGAGGTATGTATGTTTAATATTGTTATCTTTGAATGTTATATGTTGTGCTTAAATGATTGATTTAATCTGTGTGTTTATAGATAATTAACGCTTGTGTACGGGTTTGATAGCGGTACAAACAACACTTCAGTGTTTCTAACAACATTCTGATGCTTCAGTTGCACTTCGGTGCTTGATTGTGCCTATGAAAACTGAAATTGTTCTTTGGAGTGTAAAAGGTTGAGGGGTCTTGGTGCTATTACAGGTGTGTTTGGGGACTTTACGCCATTGGAGTGTGAGAGATGAGACCTGTGTATCCGTCTAATGGCTAAATGAACCTGAGTTAAATCGACTGTTACCATAATTAGAATTGTAATTGTGTGCATTATTTATTATCTTATTATATTTATATATTTATGTGTATTTGATATGTAATCCTTATTATCTCACTAAGTTTTTCGAACCTCATTTTGATTTCATGCAGGTTTAATTAAAAAACATGTAATTGATCGAGGATCGCGTCGTTATAAAAGTCGCAAGGTTTCATTTAAGAGTAAGTAGTGTGTGTGTATATATATATATATATATATATATATATTGTTTCTTACTTTTAGCAAAGGTGGCATGTTAATAAGAGTTTGTCGACCTTGGTATGGTATAGATTCATATTTATGCTTTTCTTAAGTCGAATCAAATTTATATGTGCAAGACTTGTGTAATTTCTGTATATGTATGTGTTATTGGTTATTTATGCTTGTTACACGATTGAGTGATGCTTGTTTGATAGATGTGTGTATAAGAATTTAATAAAATGGTGTAAGTTCGGTGAATCAATTAATATGGAAATAGTTAATTGTGTATTTTTGATGGCTTGATGAATAATGGTGGATTTTATTAAAATCAATCGAAACCTTTCCAAATTGTATGTTTCAATAAAAACCTCCCTAATTCTAAATGAATGAAAAGGGTACCACAAATACTTGCACACTAGAACTCTAAAAAACACTTTCATTGCCATTTTAATGGCAATAAACTCTGCATGGTCTGAAAGTCAAAATGGCAATAAACTCCAGCCCAAACAAGTCTTGAGAGGAAGGCTTATGTTGCAACCGAGACACTTCTTCGGACACCTCCACTTTCTAAGTACCCATCTTTAGTCACTCCATCAACATTAAAGTTAACATAACTAGCAGAATGACGAATCCACTTAGGATTGCTAACACAACATCTAGGGATAACCTACCATTCATCGACATTAACTGCTAGAACGTCTTTTAAATCTCTCAACCAAAACAAAGTTCTCAAGTTAGACTAAGAGACAATGTCCTTCATAGTAAGTAATTTCTCGTAAGAAACCATGACATTTCGAGCCAGCTAAAAACTCCAAAGCACTTGAATTCAACCACACCCTTAGCATTCCAGAGAAACAGTCTATTCACGGCACAATTGATTCAAACAGCAGCCTCGACACTAAGACTACACCCGATTGTCAAAACAGACTCTTCTACCGAAAGATAAGCATCTCACGCACCACCATGAAGCATGCATCACCCTGACAATAAAGCAATCCTACCACAAAACAGAAATACACACAGACGAGAGAGTTACCTCCAAGACCAGCTGACGGATATACAACACCATCGCGACCACCAAGCTTTAAACATTGTCGATTCATGTTTGCAATGTGTCAAATATGACTATTTCATTTTACATGGTAAGTTAATAGGTGAATTATAAAATATGGTATAGATCATTTTATTGGTTTCCAAGTTGGTGGAATCTTATGTTTTCTGTAAAACTTGGAAGTGTTAATGTTCTTGTTCGATTGAATTTGCTCAATTGTTGTTTAGGCATGTATTAGTGTAATTCACTTATGTAATAATTCATCTTGGAGTAGAGTTATCCAAGTTTATTAGGGCTCTGTTGAAATAAGTGGCGTTAATTAGTTAGAGTCGAAGTATTGATTGAAGGAGAATTGAAAGGAAACTTGTCTGCCTTGAGATCTCGAAGGGGAAAATTGAACTCTCCAGATAACTTTCGGGCCTCCTCAATGAACTTAGAATGATCCAAGTTTAGCCCTCGGTCGCTGGTCCAGCCTATAATAGGCTCTCCAATTTTAAACGTCTTCCAACGCCTTTGTGTAAAACATAAATACCTCGTGCAACCCTGTTGACTCGCACTATTGAGGGGAAAAAGATTACACAACACATCCATCAAGAGCATCCTTTTCTTCTCCAAACAGAGAAATGAAATAATCCATGAGGATCCACCAAGTGGCTCCAACTAATTGACCTGGTGCTATCCCATAGAAATATAATACCTCACACACAAAGTTGTGGATGGATGGCTGGGAAGATGAAACCAAACCTCTAAAATAAAAAGAGAGGTAAAACTACTTTGGATTCCCATTAATGCCATCATCATGGTCACTCATACAATACGGACCAAAAGAAAAGCTAAACTGAAACTCGTAATTCTTCTACAACACATGACGACTCAGTAACAAATTCTTGGTCTCGAGTTGGCCAGTCTTGCATTCAAATGTACCGTCATCCATTATTAACGGTTTGCCTCTATTTTCTCTTCTCTCTTGTTCACATCTTTCGCAACACTCATATTTATCATTATGAAAACAAACTCAAGTGAGAATCAAAGAAAATTTCATAAAGATACCTGAAGATACTAATTTTTTTTTACCCATTTTATTTATTTATTATTATTATTATAATTATTATAATTATTATAATTATTATTATTATATATATTATTATTATTATTAAAAAAAATAATAAATAATAATTACAGACCCAAAAGGAAACCCTAAACCAATTTAGGGTTTCAGTTAGGGTTTCCAAACCCTAGCTCCCAGCCGCCGCTTCCAGTGAGTTCCAGCCGCCCCACGTCTCCACTGCCGACGCCTCCACTTCCAGATGTCTAAGCCCGCCGTTGCCATGATGCCACGCCTTGAAGAAGCCTCCAGAAACACCACAAAGCCACACACGTTGAAGCCCTATGGTGAGTCACCACCATAGCTATGGTGACCCACCGAAGCTTCCCTCTTTGGACTGGTCCGATCCGAGCACTGTGGTGGCTATAAAAAGCCACCACCAAACCTGGAAAAAAAGAGGAGAGAGGAAGAATCGAAGATAACCAAAACAGAGGGGCAACCAACACACAAACAGAAAGCCACGGCAAGAACAGTGAACCAAACAGAGAGCAGAATACGAGAACAAATCGACACCAAATAATCAGAAAGAAGAGGAAAAGGAGCATCTTACCATCATAAAAGACTCCAAACCGTTTGGAACCACCGGAATCGTTGAAAAACCGAAGGTAAAACCTTTGATTTATTTTAGATCTAGAACGATCTAAAGCGTTTTAGGATAAGCGAAGGCCATATTCGGCCTTAGGAGGTCGAGATCTACACTCTAGGGTAATTTGGGAATTCCGGCCATCGTTGGTGGCGGTCGGCGGTGGTGATCGGCGCCGTTGGTGGTGGCCGGCCGGCGACAGAAAACTAGAGAGAGGCGAGAGAGTTTTTCTTCTCTCTCAGCTAGAGAGAGAAGAGGAAAGATGAAAGTGAGAAGCTGGCCCTTAAGGGTCGGCCTTAAGGGATTTTTAAACCCTTCTCCAAACGACGCCGTTTTGGGGAAGGGGTATATCTGTAATTTCTCACGTGGGTAAACTATACCCGCTGCCACCACAGTTTTGTAACTTTTCATTTTGGTCACTGAAATCAAATCTTGAATCTTTTAATTCGGTCTTTCGATTTTATTTAGTTTATAATTTAGTCCTAGCTTGTATACTTATATA